TTCACTTTGAATGTCCAGTAGACAGTTGATAATGCAGGACTAAAGTTCAGAGAGACTGATGGGACTGCCATCTGTAAGTTACTTGCATAAAGATGATAATTAAAATCCATGTGAGCTAATGAGTTCATGATCAAAGGAGAGACAGTATAGATAGGAAAGAGAACAGCGCATAGGACAGAACTTTTGGGAATACCACAGGGGAAATAATATACATAATGGTCTAGCAAAGAAGACTGAAAAGGATTGGTCAGACAAGTCAGAAGTGAACCCGGAGACAGTGTCATGAAAACCCAGAGAAGAAAGAGTATCTGTGAGAAGAGGGTGATTAACAGTGGTAAATGCAGCAGAAAGGACAAGAAAGATCAGGACTTTAAAAAGACCATCAAATCTGGCAATTAAGAAATCACTGGTAAATTTGGAGAACGCAGTTTCAACTGAGTGACAAGATCTGAAGCTAGCTTTAAAAGGGCTGAAGGGTGAAAGGAGAGAAAGAGTCAGTGAGAGAAGATAACTTTTTCTCTAATAATCATAGAATAACAGGAGTAAAGTTTTTGAGTATGGAGGAGACTTGGGCATGTCTAAAAGAAGTAGGGAAGGAACCGAAAGGGAGAGACTGAAGACCAAAGAAAGGGAAATGACTAGAGAGCAATCTGCTGGAGAACATGAGAGAAGAAGAGAGGAGATTTGGCCATCAGCCCACGTAGAGCTCGGCTTTGGAAAGAAGGGCCAGCTCATTATCAGAGACAAAGGGAAAGGAGGAGAGAGTGGGTAATGATGCTGAGAGGTTTTGAGGGGCAGCATGGTGATAGTGAGTTAGTCTTTGAGTCAGTAAAACCTGACTTCAAATCTTGCCTTGGACATTGTGTGATCCTGAGCAAGTCTCTCTATTCAATGGAAATGTTTGTACAGACAAGGTCTGTACCTGGTAGAAACTCAGTTTCTTCATCTGCAAAGTGGAGAATAAGGAGGAGGAGGGTGTTAGAAGAAAAGGTCTCTTAGGTACATTTTTGCTGTAGTTCTATGATCCTAAAAGAAAGGAAGAAGATGAATGGTCCTGATGATGAATGGTCTCAATTTTCTTAGTCAAATAAAAGGTTCTCAATTTAGAGGGTGGGAGATGGGGAGGTATGAGAGCCTGGGGGGAAGGGAAGAATGTTTAGAATAGTTTTGTGAGGAGTGAACAAGTCAATCAATTAAGGATCCATCTAAGTAAACATTCTTTTTTAGAAGAAATCACTCTGATTTTCCCTTAGGTACAGAACTTGTTTAACTTTAATCTACATGTCTTATATGAAAGCTATCTTTTACCAGGGAAATATCTGAGTTGTGCCTGTAACACTAAACTATAAAATGAACTGAAGAATATAGGTGCATAGAAAAGTAATGGAAAAATACTTCAAAATCAAAATGAATTATATCTCCCTGATTTTTTATTATAACGCTTTCAAAATACTACACAATCCTCACAGAAGTCTCATGAAATTAGAAGGCAAATTATCATTTATTGTATTAATATAGTATACTGCAAACAAAGTTGGAAATGAAAAGGTATTTTATTTATATTAAGTTAATATATACCTAGTACATGGAGGAAAACAAAAACAGAAAAAAGCCATTGGGAATTAAACCCACAATGTTCTATGTCTAAAGAAATCTACAGATCTGCCTATTTGGCAGAATAAGGTTGAAAAATATCTCAGATCACATCGCCCAAACAACTACAGTCCTAAAGAAATCCCTTTTTGACTCCTGAAATGATTTTTATACACCAATGAAGATGAATGGGCTTCAATATTATCTTCTCTAATAGTCTTTTAAAAACATTATGTCCAAAAAGACAAGTCATAAAAAATAAAACATACTTACACAATTTAGAATGATAGGTGTTAAGAACCATGTTTCATATATTATTAAGTGTTATCATCAATAAATATTTATTAAGTGCTTCCTAAGTGTGTGGCATGATATCGTAACTAAATATATACAAATAAGTATAAAACAATCTCTTCCCTCTAAAGACCCAGTATTAGGTTGGGGGATATAAGATAATCGGGGGCAAATCAGGGTTAACTTACTTGCCTAGATTACCCAGCGAGGCTATAGAATTCGTGCTTTATTCTACAGAAAATTCAAAACATAAAAGTTTTTATTTATTTGTTTGGTTTTGTTTTGCGGGGAGTTGTAGAAGGATATGATAGAAACAAAGTATAATTTTAGGTACACTGATCTGACCACAGTACTTGATATGGATTGAAGTAGGAGAGAGAAAAGCCAGTTAAAAAGACTACTGCAATAGTACAGGCATGAAATGATAAGGATCTGAACTAGAGCAGACACAGAAGAGATGGCCATTACTATAAAGGAATTGAAAAACCTAAATTTCCCTATAATATCTTTACTGTAGTCAAAAAATAGCTGCACTGTATCAAGGTTTTTTAGTCATTTTTAGAAAGAATAAAAAGAACAGGTCCAGAAATATAGGAAACATTATTAAATGAACAAAAAGTAGAAGAATTTAAGTTAGGCTAGGGAAAAGTCTATGAACAACTGGTTCCAACTACATTAGAGAAAAAAGTCAATAACCAGTCATTTTGTTTTCATCTTCACAGAAGACCGAATAAAAAGGTTTCAACTGCAACAAAAAACAGATATTAAATAAAAAGCCAAACTTTCTGACTGTATGGTTAATTAAATACTAGAATAGGTTACCAATAGCAGGTAGAGAAGCTTCATCCTTTAAAATTATTAAAAACTAAATGGACTCAAAGTTATAACTGTTAAATCTGACTACCTGTAATCTCTTAAGTATATTATGCAGCCCCATGTTCAGATAAATATATAACTGGTCTATGGAAAGCGAATGAGCAGAACCAAGAGAACACTGTATACGGTAATAGTTATGTGGATACAAATGGTACCCTAGGGGTTAAGAAGAATATTAAGGGTTGCTTTTCCAGAACTTTGTGAGGCCTCTTCTGAGGGGGGTGCTCATTCTGTAGCCCATCCTGCAACTTAAGAGCATCCTAAAGGTCCTTTTCCCCTTATCTTGAACTACCATAAAACTTCTCCTTAACCTATACCAAAAGAATTGCTTTTGTCTCCCCCATCCTATGCTCCTCCTGTCCCTAATCTTTAACTTGTGTCACCTTGTCCTGTCCTTAAATCTTTGTCCCACCATAAAACCCTAAAAACCTTTCTATCCTTAATCTTTAACCATCATAAGACCCTAAAAATCTATAGGCTGTATAGCTTTTTGTCTATATAAGCCTAGTCCCCCAAATATCAGTACCTCTTACTACCAAAAAGGTCCATGTAGCTTTTAAGTAATAAAGCTAAAAGAGAACATTGTCTAAGTGAATTCTTTCACACTCAAACCACTCTCCCAAATCTGACCTCAACAATAGCTATACTGTTTTAAGAACAAGTTTGAGCAACTACATATTTGTGTTTAATGGTAGCAATCTCTATGGGGGGGGGGTTAGGAAGAAAAACAAAGAAAACAAATTACGTGATAACTTTATTATATATTTAAAAGTAATAGCAAATTGTACATAACAGATTTGCAGTTTCATGCACAATCATCCTTTTAATTCTATTAAAACTTAAATTATGAAAATGTTTATTTCATAAATCAAAAATAATTTTTAAAAGAAATTTAACAGCAATAAATATAGTCTTACAAGAAAATATGTAGCTGGTTTAACAAGTCTTTGTGAAGAGAAACAAAGACTTAGAAAATAGCAATGCAAATAGGTTAAGTGCCACAATCTTAAAACAAAAATGAAATCTAGATGGGATCACTAAAATAGACAATCTTGGGTTAGCTGATTGAATAGAATTATTCAGTATAGTTCAACAGAACTCTTGAGTCAAGCTCAAATAGAAATGGATCCCTAAAGCTAGCATACTGATTTAGAAAACCACAAATTAACATTATCTATGTTGTATAGTATTTTTATTTTGTTAAATCTTTCCCAATTACATTTTAATCAGGTTTAAGTAGCACTGAAACGTTTTGCAGGCCAGGAAGTTCTAAAGCTCTGGTTTAGAACTTCAGTTTATTAAAGGCACTTTGACAGATGTCCTCAAGATTCCCTCCCAATTTTATCAACAAAAATCAAAATACATTTACTGAATATGTACCAACGCGGTAGTCATGGTAGTCGATACAAAATAATTGTAATTCATATAAAGTAGCTGTTTGATTTAACTGAGTACATTACAAAGTACTCAAGCACATTACCAAACAAAACAAAACAAAAAAAACCCTTTTAACCATTTTGTTAGCCTTTAAAAAAAAATCATTGGATTAAAAACTTTTAATTTTCCCACTGCAAAAGAAAATAAGTAAAATATTTAATGTTGTTTGTTCCAAATACACTTTTTTTGATAACTGATGTTTTAAAAAAGGAATTACTGGACAAATATAATAACTAAGGAAGAAAAAATAAAATAAAATGGATAATACACTTACCTGACCTCTCAAATAACATATCTCAGTATAATTCATAATCTTTTCTTGATAAGTAAAGGTCACTATTATAAATATTAATTATTATAATGTGTTCTAATAGTTTCTGTCTCCTTCCCATTCTCAAGTGTTTTCTTACAGTTATCCACCTCTAAAAAATGTATTTTTTATTTTCTACTTCTATGCTGCTATGAAACCAATCAAGATCATAGGCTTTTAATAAATGCTCATTGAGGGAGTGACAAAATTATCTAAAGCAAACAGAAAAAGAAGTTCTGTATGAGCTTCTCTCCTCTAAGTATTACATGATATCTATTTTGATCACTTAAAGACTGTTTTTGCTAACTTCCTGTTTTCAGCTATGGTACAGGTAGATAAAATTTCTGGGTAATTCATTTTTGGATAAATAAGATATTCCTTTCAATGACTCTATAATAAGGTATTTGATCCATTTTGAAATCACTTAAATATTTCACTAATAATTCTAAATTATGTAAAATATGTAAAATTATGTAAAATAATCACTCACTTCATTTACTTCTGCTATTTCTCTCCTCTCTTCACTGGCAAAACGAAGTTGGCCAGAAGCACCACGGTCATCATTCTTTGAACCATCTTCTTCCACATATGGAATGAGTTGCTAGAAAGATGGGGAAAAAAGTTAAAATGTATAGAATACAAATAAAACTCAAAGCTTAGAATAATGTTGATATTTTATAGTATGTAAAATAATATCACATTTATTTATAGCAGCACATATGTAAATTTCTGTTTAGTGATGGTTTCAAAGAAATTATGTTTTCATGAATTTAAAAACACGAAGTTTTTAAAAAATTATCATTTTAATAAGCTACTTCTAGGATCATAAAACTAAGGCTGGAAGAGAACTCGAGAGGTCATCTAGTCCAATTCCTCCATTTTATAAATGAGGAAAACAAGCCCCCGAGAGGTCAAGTGACTTGCCCAATGTCACACAGTAGTACAGAGACAGAATTGGAACCCAAGTCTTGACTCTAAAGTCCAACACTCTTTCCACCAAAAACAACCTGTTTTGTTTTGTCAAGCTCTGTTATAGACAACTTGATGTTAAGTCTCTGTTGAGCCTATTATGATTAAGTGGTAAGATTTTTAATTTAAGAGTTTAATTTAAAGTATTAAGATTATAATAACTATTAAGATTTTTCAAGAAAAGCACTTATTTTCAATAAATTTCAGAACAGAATACATCTGAATATAAACTTAAAGTTTCCATTATAACTTTTACAAGTCTCCATTTCAACAAAATCAATTTGATTAATATGATCACACCTAGTAGATACTAAGTAAATGCTTATTGAATTGAAAAAGAAAATCAGGACATTGAGAAATTTATTTCCCTACCTTTGGAAACAAAGGTGCAAACTGATATGAAAGAGCTACCAAAGTATCATATACTCAATGCAATTGAACTATACCTCTATTACTCAACTATATTATATATTTAAGCAACTAATTTGGAATGTAAAAAAGATAAATACCCAAATCTCAAATCTGAATTAATATTATTAATAAAAATCTTGAGGAGGATAATAACCAATATTTGCATAGTACTTTGAAAATTCAAAAAAAAAACAAACTTTTATGAAAGTCTGACATTTTCACATTTCTAAAAACATGTGCAATTCTATTGCCAAACAGTTAAGATTGGGGATAAAGTGGTGATAAAAAAATCACTAATAATCTAAAGACTTAAGAGCTAAAATTAGATTTGGCTCAGACTCAAAATTTAGAGCATCTTAAATTGTGTACAGATCACATAATTGATAAGATATTGCTTGACTGATGGATTTCAACATTCTTTGCTTATTAATTTTTTAAAAAAATATACATATCCTTCTGGCAACTATGTTAACATATATTTTAGTTTTCTTTAGATAAAGATTAAAATCAGCATAGTTCAGTAACTGAGACTGTACTGAAATAATAGACAGGGAGAAATAATTATTCCTATTGCCATTTCAGTCCAAGAAAAATGTCTTACTTTCTGATTACTGCCCCCATACTCTACCACTAAAACTTACCTCTATCAGAATAGGATCCAATCCTGCACAGTTTTCATTGCATTTATCATAAACTAATCTTAGTTTCCGGAAAAGGATGGAGAGTTGACGGAGATGATCTTGAAGTTTAGCTAACCTGTCCTGGTATGTTGCAGTGTGGTAAGTGACACCATTTGGTAACTGATTGATTAAACAAAAACAAAAATAACACAATAAACACTGAGTGCATTGAAAACACAAGATTTTTTCCTCAAAAAGGGCATTAAACAGAACCACTTTAACAATCATAGAATAAGAAGGCATGAAGGAATTACCATCTGTATCTTTGGAGGAAATAGCCACCCAGAAGAAACTATGGCTCCAAGAAAACTTAATAGTCAACTTGTTCCTACAAATAAACTAGGAAGATTTTCACTAGACTTTCTGCCTGACATAAAACTTACATAATTACAGTATATTTTAATTTCTGTAAATGAGTCCTAAAAGCAACTCATTTATTTGGCATGTACTATTGTTCTTAATGCATTTATTTAGTGCTGGAAGAATATAAAATTGAATATGGCTATTGCTCTCAAAGAACTTACCACCTAGTAAGAGATGTTGGTATAAAACATTATCAAGATATCAACTCTATACTCAGTAAGCTTCAAAAGATATACATCTGTCACAAAGTATAACTTTGCAGTACCTGGGTAATACAACTATACATATATATCTACACACACACACACACACACACACACATATATATTTTTTTGGGGGGGGTGGGGGACCAAGTCTTCCTATTTCACAGAGGCTATAAGTATAGTGGCCACTCATGAGCCTGAACCCACTGCTAGTCAGCATTGGAAGCTTTGACCTTCTCCACTTCTGACTTGAGCTATTTTGTCCTCCTCAGGCATCCTGGTGGTCTTCCACTCCTGAGGGATTCATTATATTGGTGTTGGCCTTACTGAGGACACTTATTTGGCTTTACCACTCTTATGGCTCAGAATTTCCAAACTCAAGATCCACCATCCTTGGCATGGGACTATGGGCATGCACCAGCACACCCAGAAGTACAATGATATTCTAAAATCAACTGCACTGGATTTTGTAACTTCTGAAGTAAATCAAAGCTTGAAAAAGTACTACTTTAACATTACATAGAGTTCTCCATATACATGTAGCTATTCTACCCAGTTAAGAATTAAAATTGGAAATGCTGAAAAATACTTGGCTCTGACTACTTAAAAAGTTAAATAATACACAGCTAAAAATACTAATTCACAAATATCTAGAAAAAACTGATAAAACAATTAAGATGCTCAAGGAAGACAGTAAAATGTAGTTTTTACCTTAACATTTTGTGCTATTTTATTTCTAAAATATACCTTTCTAAGGAACTCTGCTCCTCAAAACTTCCTATCAATTTTAAGTACCCATAAGCTATGCTATATATTTATCTTAAATGCCCATTTCCAGTAAAAGAAACAAAAGGAAAAATAAAACACAGGTACACAGGTAAACAGAATTCTTACCATGAACAAAAAAGAAAAGGAATTAAAGAGGAAAAAAAAAACTTTCTCACTTCAAGTAACATAAGAAAATGTAATCATCAAAGCTACTTGGTACTAGTTTAAAAAGATGAAAGCAGATAAATGCAACAGACTAGATAATCAAGAACGAGAAACTAAATAATCCAGTGTTCAATAAGTCTGATAACAGAATACTTGGAGAAAAATTCCCTATGTGCCAAGAACTGCTAGGTAAACTGGAATTCAAGTTGGGAAGAAAAACTAAGCATCTTATCACATTAAGTTGAAAATGGTTACAGAAAATGGATGTCAATATTATTAGCAACTATGATCATGAGAATTATTAACTAAATAAATGCTAGAAAAGATCTCAAAAATAAAATAGACATGAAATTCAAAGCTTCTGCATGTCTAAAATAAATGCAATTAGGATAGAGAAGAAAAATGTCAATGAGAAAAAAATGTATCATTTTTCTTATATAAAGTTCTAATATTCTAGATATATAGATTATTCAACAATCAATCAAGAGACGTTTATTACATTCGTCCTATGTACCAGGCACTGTGTGGGCCACAGATGATACAAGGAAAAAAAAAAAAATTAAACAATCCCTACTTTCAAGGTGCTGACATATTCTATTGAGGGAGAAAACATGTACATATATTAGCATATATAGAACTTATATACAAATACAAGGAAATGGTGAGAAAGTAAAATTAACACAAATACATATATGACCAAGAACATGCTCAAATGTAGTGGTTCTGAAATTTTTTGGTCTCAGGAGCCCTTTACTTTTTTTTTGCGCCTTTGTTTGCTCATGATCCCAGCCAATTACTTGAGTTTTAAACTCTTTGTTGAGGTAGGGGTCTGCTTCCAGTGTGGAGAACGTTCTGTCCCAAGCTTCAGGAGTTTTGTGCTGCTGTTGTCAGAAATACTTCTAGGGAGCTGTAAATTTTCAGTTCTTCCTAGGTGGTATGATAAGGGGTGAGGTGTTTACTCCTTTCCTTTGTCCTCTGGTCTATGAGTGACCACGAGCACTCTCTGCTACCTTGGAACTATGAGGAAAATTTCCTCTCCACCACCACTACAAGCTCCACCACACCAGCATTCCTCCTCGCCCCAGGACCACCACCCAGAACTGTGATCCAGATCCAAGCAGGGCAAAGCAAGAGATTCCTGCCTCAGCACTAGCAAAGAGATCCCTGCAATCCCCCTTTGACTAGCCACTCGATTCCCCCTCAGTCTGTGGCCCTGAAGCTCCAGAAGCAGCTGTTGCCCCTGGGCTACACTATGGGACTGGGGCTGGGACCTCCTTCTCTTCACACCACTCATAGACTTTTCCCACTGACCTTCTAAGTTGTCTTTGGTGTTCGTGGGTTGAGAAGTCTGGAAACTGCCACAGCTGCCCGTGATTCAGTCCTCTGAGGCCTGGTCTAGGACCCTTTTACTTTTAAAATTTATTGAGAACCCCTTTCCCTAGACGTTTTATGTATATCATACTAGAAAAGTAAATGTCTAAGTATTATTATGAAAATAGTTCTGACCTCGTAGAGCTCCCAAAAAAAGTCTTGCAGGCCCAGAGAGGTCCCAAGACCACGCTTCGAGAACTACACTATTCAATGAGTAAGTGATCAAAGGATATAAAAAACAAACAAACAACAACAACAAAAAAAAACAGTTCATGGACAGTTCTCAAAAGAATTGCAAACTTCAAACAACCACAAGAAGACTGCTCCAAATCACTAGTAATATAAGAGAAACTCAAATTTTAAAACAATGACAACCACCAAGAGGCTTCACCTCATATCCAGCAAAAAATAAAAATAATGTTGAAGGAAGAGAGGCTCACTCTCATCCTGCTGGTGAAGCTGTGAATTAGCTTAACCAGTCTTTAAAAGCAAATAAATAAATGGATGAATGAATGAATGTCATTGATTTTTTTATGGCCTATATTTCTCAATGTATCTCCCTCTCTAGTTATTCTTTCCAGAGAGTCCTCTCTTACGACAAAGAGTAAAAGAAAAACAAAACCATTAACAAAACTAAACAACACATGAAAAGGTCGGACATACATGCAGTATTCAGTATTCATGGTCTCCCACCTCAGCAAAGAAGCAAGAGGAAATGTCTTCTTATCTCTTCTCTAGGGCCAAACTTGATCATTACAATCTCACAGCATTCAGTTTTAACTTTTATTAATGTTCTTTACATTTGTATTGTACTAGTCACAGTGTATGAGGCAGCTAGATGGCTCAGTGGATAGAGCACTGGGCCCAGAGTCAAGAAGACCAGAGTTCAAATTTGACCCCAGACACTCACTAGATATGTGACCCTGGGCAAGTCATTTAACTTCTGTTTGCCTTAATCCACTGGAGAAGTAAATGGTAAACCAGTATATTTGTCAAGAAAATCCCATATGGGATCCCAGAGAGTCAGACATGACTGAACAACAAAGTCATAATGTACATTGTTTTCCTGGACCTACTTACTTCTTTATATTTATCCTTTCGGAGGGCACAACATTCCATTATATTCATGTATGACAATTTGTTGAGCCACTCCTCAAACAACGATTAACTACTTTGTTTCCAATTCTTTGCTACCACAAAGAAAGTACTGTTATATTTTGGTATATTCTGAGACTCTTTTTATTCTTGACCTCCTTGGGATATATGTCTGACATGGGATATCTGGGTCAAAGGATGTGGACATTTTAGTCACTTTCACTGCACAATTCTGGATGACTTTCCAGTGTGATTGGACAAATTCATTGCTCTATCAACAGCATATTAGGGTGTCTCCCTTTCCATAGCCTTTTAAATATTATCTATTCCTACCTTTTATTATCTTTCCCAATATCCTGGAGGTACAGTGAAGCGGTGATTTTTAAAATCTGAATTCACTTAGTGATGCATCAAACCAACTGGAAGAATAGCTTTTATATATATATCAATGTTAATTCCCTATTACCTTGGATATCAGATTCTTATCAGACATGTCTGATGAAAAAAAATTTTTTCCCAAAGATATTACTTTCTTGCACTGACAGCATCAGTGTTAAAAGCTTTTTGATTTTATGTAACTACAATTGTCTGTGTTATCTTTTTCTGGTTGACTACATCCATGGCTTAATTAAGAAGACATCCTCTAGCCTAGCATCTAGCCACAGCTATGAAAGATAGCTCATCTGGTTGTCTTTTTAATTTTATATAGTATGATCTTTAATATGCAGATCACATTTCAAGTTTATTACAGCATGGGCGGTACAATGTTGGCTTCAACCTAATTTCTGCCAAAAGTCCTTCCAATTTTCCTAACACTTCTTTTCAAATAGGGAGTGCTTCTCCCAAATACATTATGTTCTTAGATTAATCAAACACTGGGCTGCTGAATTCAATTGTTTCTCAACCATCATTATCTAGGTTGTTCCATTAATCCACTTTTCTGTTTTCTAAAGGAATAGCAAATAGTTTTGATGATTATTGTTTTATAGTAAAAATTGAGCTCTAAAAGTGCTATTTCCCTACATTCCTACTTTCAAGTCAACAAGCATTTATTAGGCATTCACTATGTGTGCCAGGCACCTTGTTAAGCAATGGGAATAAAAGAAAGGCCAAAAAAAAAAAAAAAAAAAAGGTCGTTGTTCTCAAGGAGCCCACAGTCTAATGGGGGACACCACATAAAATAACTATATATAAATAAGATATATAGACAGCATAAACTGGAAATAATCAGAGAGGGAAGACACTAGCATTAAGTGGGATTAGGAAAAGATTATTGTAGAAGGTGAGATTTTTAGCTAGGGCTTGAAGGAAGCCTGGAAAGCCAGGAGACTGAGATGAGGGAGAGAATTACAGGTATGAGGAACATCCAGTGAAAACGCACAGTCAGGAGTGTCACTGCAAAGAACATCAAGGGGGTCAGTGTCACTGAAGTGCTGAGTATATAAAGGAGATTAAGGTGTAAGAAGACTGGAAATGTAGGAATAGGCCAGGTAATGAATGACTTTAAAAGACTTTAAAAGCCAAACAGAGAGGGTTTTTTGGTCATGGAGGTAAAAGGGAGGCACTGAAGTTAATTAAATAGGGGAGTGACAAGGTCAGGAAGATCAATTTGACAGCTGAGTGAAGGACTAACTGGAGTGGGGAGTGACTTAGAAGAAGGGAGACCAAATAGCAAGCTATTTCAATAGTACAGACATGAGGTGATGAGGTTTTGCAGCAGGATTGGATGGGGTGGGGAGGTGAATGAGAGTGAGTAGTTGAGAATGACAACTAAGCTGAGAGCCTGGGTGACTGGGAGGATGCTGTTGCCCTTGACAGTAATAAGGAAATTAGGAAGAGGACAGGGCTCAGGGAAAACTATGAGTTCAATTTTAGACATGATAAGTTTAAAGTGGCTACAGAACACTGAATTTAAGATGACTAGTTGGAAGATTCGAGACTAGAAGTCAGGAGAGAGGTTAGGGCTGGATAAACAGATCCGAGAATTATCTGCATAAAGATAATTGAATCCACAGGAAATGGTGAGATCAATATGCAAAATAGTATGTAGTGAGAAGAGAAGGCAGCATAAAGCCTTGAGGAACACAGTTCCTCACAGTTAGCAGGTAAGACCTGGATGAAGATTCAGTAAAGAGGTCAGACAGACAGGAGGAGAACCAAGGAAGAGCAATATGAATATCAAGAAAAGGGGGATTGGAAGTGTCACAGGCAGAGAAGATGAAAGATGAGGATTATTGAGAAAAGGCCATTAGATTTTGCAATTAAGTGCTCACTGGTAACTTTGGAGAGGGTTGTTATTTGTCCTTGGATTTCAAAGACAACTAACGACATCACAGGGTGATGTCTTGACTCATTTGTGAATTGGGCTTAAGAGAGGCACAGTTGCACAAAGTTGTCAATCCCACTCTCTTACAGAGTAATCAAAGTCCAGTGGCAAGATAAAAGTCAAGATGGCTGGCAATGGCTCCCAATGCAGTGGATGATTTTGGCATCTTCAATATCTGACCAAGCTCTAAGCGCTCCACAGTGCCTGCTTCAGCTTTGGAACAAATTGTTCTTATCCACCCATTCTGCTGGGAGAAGTCTTCACATGCTAACTCACCAACAGGATTGAGGACTTCAGTTACCCTCAATCTAGTTTAGCCCATCTGCTGAGATGGTTTATCAGGGTGTGGCTTGGAACCACAGGTGACAATTGGAGGACAGGTGGACACCAAAGGCAGATAAGCAGCCCTAAAAAGGGCTTGGTAAGCTTTCACAGCAGAGGTGCTAGTCCTTGAACAGAAAATATACCCTGTCATGAAGTAGCAATGAAATGACAAATATTTGCAGGATAAGCAAAAGTACTGGAAAGACTCTTGGAACTAAACTGGATGACAGACGGTAACAGACACAAGAAAATAAAAACAAAGCACGGGGAAAAATGAAATAAATGTCATTTGAAAGCTTTATGGATGAAACAAAATCTCAGATTTTAAAGTCTTTTAGTATGTAAAGTGCTTTGGTAATACATTAAATACTTTAATGTATTAAATTTACATAAACTTTAACACTAGTGTCAGTACCACAGGGAAATAAATAATATTACAACTAGAATCATTTTTGCTTTCCCTACACCTCTCTGACTCCTGACTTCCCTGGTTTTCTTCAAATCTCAGATAAAAACCAACCTTCTGCAAGCCTTTCCTGGACTCACTTCAAGCCAGTGCTTCTGAAATTACCACCAATTTCCTCTGTATATATCCTATAGGTACATAGTTGGTTGAATGTATTGCTTACTAGATTGTGAGCTCCTTAAAGGCCAAGGACTTTGTCCCTCTCCCCCTTTCTTTGTATTTCCAGCACTTAACCCAGTGCCTATCACATAGTAAGTATTAGATAGCTAAATAGGTGGCAAAGGGCCTAGAGTGCTAGATCTGACCTCAGAAAGATCAGAGTTCAAATCCTGCTTCAGAAACTTAGTAAGTGTGTGACTCTGGGAATGTCATTGAAACCCTTTTCTGTCTCAATTTCTCATCTGTACTGGCTGCACTACTTTGGGACTTTTCTGAATGACTTCTCCACTATCTCCTTTTTTGTTGGTATTCAGTCGTTTTTTTCAGTCCAGTCACGAGTCACTTCACACTCCATTGGAGGTACTGTTGCCAAAGACACTGGAGTGGTTTGCCATTTCCTTCTCCAGCTCATTTTACTTATGAGGAAACTGAGGCAAACAAGGGTAAGTGACTTGCCTAGGGTCACACAACTAGTAAGTGTCTAAGGCCAGATTGGAACTTGTTTCTTCTTAACTCCTGGCTTGGTGCTCGATCCAACTAGCCATCATCCCAGGAAGCTCATTACGGGGATAAACTCATCATCCAGTACCCTCTGCCTCTCTGATTGGAGGGTGGGTCCATCAACTACAAACTTCCATTTAGGAATGGACCTCAGGCCAGGTATCTCCTCATTTCTCACCTGGCTGCACTACTTTGGAACTTGATGACTGCCTTTTCCACCATGACCCCGGATTTGGTACTCCCCTTTCCCCCTTTCAGCTTCCGTTTGTGGTGTGTCTTCTCCCATTAGATTTTAAGCTCCTTGAAGGTTGGAGTCTGTCTTTTTTTTTTTTTCTTCATATATTCACCCCAGGAGCTTTTGGCATAGTGCCTGGAACAGAGCAGGTGCTTAATAAATGTTTATTTAATAAATGCTGACTACAGTAATAGACTAGAGTTGTCAAAATGTTTTTCTAATGTTTTGTAATTTGACTAGAGTAGTCAAAATGTGTACCTGCCTGCCTGGGTGGGTGGAGGATCAAAGGAGATACTGGAAAGCGCTTTGCAAACCTTAAAGCGCTACGTAAACGCTAGCTTTCACTTAGTATCCATAAATGCTTGCTGACTCGGTGGGCGGTCCCCCGGGGACTACAGCACAGGATCCTTCCCCGCGCTCCCTCACCTGCATGTTCCTGAGCAGCTGAAAGATCTCCATGGTGCGGTACACAATGTCCTGCACGGTTTCCTGGCCAATCCGGCAGAGGGACGCGGTGTTCACCTCCCGGGCAGCCTGGGCCTGGGGTCCCGTAAAGGCCCCGGGCGGCATCCCGGCCCCGGCCAGCGGCGGGGTGGACATGTGGGCCCAGCGAGCCTGGCCGCGGAGGAGGAAGGACGGAAAGCGGTGGGGCTCACGCCTCGCCTTGCCGCGGAGAGGAACGCTTCGCTTTATTAAGCCGTGGCCGGCAGGGCGCCGGGGAGCGGCCTAACCTGAGGGCCTACCTTCCCTAAATGCTGTTCATTTGGGGCGCGGGACAGAACTGCGGGGGTGCGCACGCGGGGCTGAAGGTACTAGGGGGTGGGAGAGTTGAAAGCAGCCCGGGAACAACTTCAAAACAGTAGCCTAGGCTTCCGCTTCTCAGGGACGCTAACGTCACCGTGACGTCATCACGCCGCAGCCCGGGCCAACGTCGCACATGGGTAAAGAGAAACTGACTTGGAGCCGGGCCAAGGATGCTGAGGGAGGTGTCTGTGTGGGGCGGGCTGCCTGGGCTCGGGGCTGGCTGTAATGGGAGCCTTGGGGAACCAGTCCCTGGGAGAAGGAACAAATCGATGAGCATTTAATCAGCGCTTACCATGTGCAGCAGAGAAGGCGATAGGAAAAATTAAGGAAATTGAAGAACACAGAGTCCAAATTTAGCTTGGGTGTTTCTGACTCCAGCCTGGGCATTTGATCCACTGTGCTGCCCACCTGGCCTCCCTCTGTAGAATCAAAAAGTCACACAAAATCATTATAAGTACCACTGTTCTCACTGTCATCTGAGAGCTCAAATTTTAGTCCTGTATCGGGACCCAGTTACCCTTAATAAAGATCCCAAGGTGCTACTACCAGTGATGGGGGGGGGGGGCACTAAATGAGACCAGGCATCATGGTAGAGTGGAAAGAGAACTGGCTGTGAAGCCCCAGGCCTGAGTCCAAATTGCACTACTAAGGCTTACTACCAGTCTGAGTTTGGGCATATAATTTACTATTCTTGGGCATCAGTTTTCTCATTTGTAAAACAGAGGGGTTAGCAGAGGTGGCATCTGAAATCCCTTTTAGCTCTGGATCTGGGATTCTAAATTTAGAGTTGGAAGGGACCTTGAAGTCTGTCTAGACCAACCCCTTCATTTTTTTTTTTGATGGTTTCTTATTTTGACCTTTTCAATTAAGCATTTTTTTATCACACCTTTCCCTTCCATTAAACAAACCAACAAAAACAAAACTCTTACCACAAATATATATATATATAAATATAGTCAAACAAAATAAATTCTCACATTAGCCATGTCTAAAAATATATCTTTGAATCTTGAATCCCTCACCTGTTGTTAGAAGGTGCATAATATACATCATCTGTTCTCTAAAATCAAGGTTAGTCTTTGCACTGATGTGAGTTTTAAGTCTTTTAAAGTTTATCTTTACAGTGTAGTTATTGTATTAATTGTTCTCCTGGGCCTGCTCACTTCACTCTGCATTAGTTCATATGAGTCTTTTCAAGTTTCTCTGAAACTGTCCCCTTCATCACTTCTTAGTACAATAGTATTCCCTCATATTCATATGCTATAATTTTTCAGCCATTCCCCAATTAATGAGCACCCCTTAATTCCCTGTTCTTTGCCACTACAAAAGTGCTATTATAAATATATTTTTGTACATAAGGGTCCTTTTCCCCTTTCTTTGATGTCTTTGAATGTTACCAGTATTTCTGGGTCAAAGGGCATGTACAATTATATGACTTTCTGTGCATTAATATGCCTGTTTTCTCACAGCCCCTTCAACATTTGTTATTTTCCCTTTTTTTAGTCAACCTTGCCAATCTGATGCCAGCACCATTTTACAGTTAAATAAGCCGAAGCTTAGAAAAGTTGTGACATGCCTAATATCATCCACATAGTGAATGGCAGAAGTGGGAACTGAAACAACATCTAGTGACTAAAGCAACCTGTATATCAAGCTTTACAATTTACAGATTATTCATCTGGCAATAGCTCTGTGAGTTATCAAAATAATATTTTAACCCTGTTTTACAGATAAGAAAATTGAATCTGAAGAGCTGAAGTAATTGGCCCAAAGTCATGGAGTAATAATAGCTAGCATTTATACAGTATTTTTTTAAAGTTTGGAAAGTGCTTCATTAATATTATTTCATTTTATCCTCATAACAACCCTGGGAAGTTAGTGTTATTACCAACGCCCCCTCCATTTAATAGATGGGGAAATTGAAGCAGACATAAATTAAGTAGTTTTCCCAGAGCTACACAGCTAAGTGGCTGACGCAGGATATGAACTCAAGTTCCTAACTTCAGGAATTCAATCCACTAAGCCATCTAGCTGCCTCTCTGTAGTATACTTGCATTTCTTTCCCAGGGTATTCAATTTGTGAAGTGTTTTCTTGTGAGGTTGAAGTACATGTTGATGATAGTACATTTTCACAAATGTATAAGCATACAGTTTGAATATTAGAGCAAGAATGGACCCTAAGGATTACTGTGTCCAACTCCATTTTGCAGATTGCACTTCAAGAAGTGCTTTAAGATCATCAAATCATAAACATGAATAAAATAACTGTGAACTTGGTTATCATGCCCCAGGGTGCCACAATAAAGGGGTAACAGGTGCTGGTGATCTTTATACATACTGCTTGTTTGTTCACACATCCCTTCCCCAAATCTAGGCTTCATAAGGATGCCTTGGATTTCTGTGTCAGTCTGTCCAGCACCTTGGCCAGGGCCTAGCACGTAAAAGATGCTTTAAAATATTTGTTGAAAGAAGGAATGGATGGATGGACACAATTTGAAGCCTGAGTAACATAAGTTTGGGAAATAGAAGGAAGAAATACAATTTCAACCCAGGTGGTAATGAAAAAAATTGCAATCATTACCTTGAGAAAAAAAACTTTTTTTTTTTTTTTTTTTGGATCAGGTTAAGGAAAAACACATACTTGAAGCCTTCTCAGAAGTAGTCCCACCTGGCTCTAACCATCCCAGCAAGTTTCTCTAACACTTATGTGGATCTTCAAGATTGTGCTTGTTTAGAGAGCTATTATCATTTGTTTTGTGCTTATGCCATATGATAATTGTACTTTCTCACAAGAGATGTGCACATATATAATCATAGACTTAGAAATAGAGGAAGCTTAAAAGTTGATCTTGTCCAATCCCCTCATTTTACACATAATAACTTGCTAAGTATTTACATAGTGATTCACAATTTACAAAGTGCTTTCCTCACAACAACCCTGTGAGGTAATGTAAGTATTCACATTTTACAGATGAGGAAACTCAGTTCAGAGGAATAAAGTCAATTATACTTATAGGAATACTGAAACCCAGAGAGGTGGAAATAACTAAGTATGGTATTGACTGCTTCACTCTTCATCGCAGCTGTTCCACATCTTTTCCTCAAGCTTCCTGCACCACCCCCTTCCCCTTCTCCTAGCAGAGTAATTCAGGTCCTTCACTGTGAAAATAGAGAACACCTGTCATGACTGGCTTTTCCATTACTCTACTTACAAGCCCTCTTGATCAAACCCTATTCTCTTTTTTGCTCTAGTCTGATGAAGTGGTCCTTTTCTTTGCCTACTTGTGCTTTTTATCCCATTCCCTTTTTCATCTTTTAGAAGGCTTGCTTCTTTGATCAACCTTACTTTTTCATCTTCAGTCTCCCATCTTTGATACCTCCTTATCTATTGGCTCCTTCCATGTTGCCTTCAAATATTACCAGGTCTCTTCCCTCCTTGAGAAAACATTCATTTGACCTTTGTGTTCCCCAAGCTATCTTCACAACTCTCGCCCCCATTTCCATATCTCCCCCTTAATTATCAGTCTCTTGTAATTTGGCTTACAACCTCACCGGTTGACTGAAACTACCCTCTACAAAGTTACCAAATGCTCTCTTAACTGCTAAATCTGATGACCTTTTCATAATTCTAATTCTTCTTTAACTCTTTTCAGCTTTTGACACTCTTGACCCAGCTGACTTTCCCTAACCACATATAGCCGATTGATTGTCAAACCTTTACATTTTTACCTCCCCATATCTGACTTACCACATTGCTGTCAAACTGATTTTCTTCAAGTGTAGTCGTGACCATGATGCTCTCCTACTCAGTGCATCCCAGTGGCTCCCTATTGTCTCTAGAATAAAATATAAACTTTTTTATTTAGTTTTGCAAGTCCATCACAACCTAGCCCCAAACTATGTTTGTAGCTTTGTTATTCATTATTCCCCTTTCCTTGCTCTTTGATCCAGAAAACTGACCTTCTCTCTGTTCTTCATACATGACGTTCCATTTCCTATCTCTGTCCTTTTCTAGTAGCTATTTCTTAAGACAAGAGTATACTCCTTCCTTATCTTTACCTTATAGAATCCATCTCTTCCTTCAAGATTCAGCTCAAGTACCACCAGTTCTATATTCAGCCTTTCTTGACACCCCCACCCCCAAGTTCCAGGGCCCTCTCTCCCTAGTTGCTTTGTATTTATTTTCTTTATATTTATTCTGTATATACTTATATATGTACTGGTATCTTTCCTGTTAATATATAAGTTCCTTGAGAGAAGGTATTGTTTCATTCTTTGTATTTGTTTCTCAAATGCCTTGTACAATACTAGTTACGTAGCAAGGAATTAATAAATGCTTGTTGATTAACTCACTACCACTTGCTCCAGATATTTTCTTCCCTTATGGACATCATTCTCTCTTTGTTCTTCCACCTGCCCATCTGGCCATTCATGAGTCTTATTTTCTGAATTATCATCATCCATCTTTCCTCTTCCAAAGCAACCCTAAGTGTCTCCAAAGTCTCTGTCCTTTGTCTTCTTATCCTCTTTCTCTATACCCTCTCTCTTGATCATATCATCTCCCATTGATTAAGTTATCATCTCTGAAAGTATTCCCAAACATACATGTCTAGCCTTTATCTCTCTTGTGGTCTTCAGTCTCACATAAAGATCTGGAGCCCGGAGAGCTGCTGAGATACCTCCCAGATTTCAAGTTCTGTAACTCTGTAACTGAAGCTTAGAATGAGACAATTATTTCTTAACATTATCATTGCTATAATTCTGGTTAAGCAAATTGACAGGGGAAAAACTAAAATTTAAGCTTTAGCTTGACTGTTGAATTTGTCTTTGTTTCCAAGTTCTTATAAAATTCAAGAGAACATTGGTTATAAGGTAAAGAATTTCAGTGAGAAGGAGAACACACTATTTTTTGGTTCTTTCTCTAAGCAGCAATCTTTGGAGATAATTAATAAAAGGTCTTTGCTGAACTTGTGTTTAAAAATTGAAGAGTGTGGAATTTTTTTCTTCTATGGGATTATGGTCATTAATGACAGAGAGAAAGCAGAGCTATCCAATTTATTTTGTATATACTT